AGAGAGAGAGAGAGAGAGAGAGAGAGAGGCGATATTCTGAACGTGTGAAAATTTAAGTGGCAAGATTATCACCAACTTCTGCATTTTACGAACGCGATTTTCTACGAGAAGAATCCATGATCGCCGATCCTTACCTCTTGAGGATAGAACGGTGCTTGTAGCGAGACGCAGATGGCATTTGCGAAATCGGCGATGCTGATGACAATCAGAGTGAGCCATTGCCGCTTGGTGAACTTAGCCATAATTTTACCGATCAAATTTCTGCACCCTACTGTTTTTTTTCACACTCGCGCGAATTCCGTGCGCCGCGACACGAGATCAGGTGCACTGCGGATCGTGCGACTTCGGCCAGCGAAGAAGATCGGGGAAAAATTTACATCCGGAGCGACTAGTTCGATTCAGCCGATCGTTGGACTACTTGCTTGTCACTCTTACGGCAAATAGTAAACATATAGTTCGCGATACTTGTACACAGTATCTCGTTTTGTCTCGTCTCGACTGAGCCGCGCTCGCACGTGTTTACTACGTGCGTGGCCGAGCGTTCGTTGCCGCACTACGCGAAACGCGTTGTTCACTTTTAAGGACTTGGCAAGAGCCGCGAGAAGAAGGTCGGAGGTCGAATGATATGTCCTACCACGGTTCTAATTTCATTATCGGCCAACGCGCTGCCAAGTGTCTCGCGAGCATATTACAGGGCGTGAATCTACGAGCGGACCGGAGTTGACTTTACGCCGTTTGGAGTGCTCCACTTATCTGTTTTTTTTTCTACAATCGCTCGTACACGTTTCTGCCCCTTAAATAAGATGTCATCTACATAATTACATTTTTTCCCTAACAATTCGAGAATATCGACGACTCGAACATTCTGAATGAATCATTAAACGAAGGATCTCTTCGTTATTTCTCGAGCCACACATGTCGTTTTGTTAAGTTTGTGTCTAAGTCACCCAGCACAATTTAACAATTTTAATTCTAAACCAAGTTTTTTATGTGAGAGGTCTCGGAGTTAAAAATAAATTTCACTTTATATCTCTTATTTAGAAAATGAATAACACTAATTGAAGATATTAATTTTAATGCATAAATGTTTATATCTTAGTGATATACAATTAATAAAAGTTATAAATATGAAAATCTAAAGGAAAAAAGTTAGGAATTTGAGACTTTTTATTATTAATTGTGTCACCTTTTTCTTAGAATTAAAATTGATTTAATAACATTTCTTATTAATTCGGAATAATTTTTTGCTTAGCGATAAAAGTGTTATAATTATTATGCCTAAAGTTTATTTATTTCGAGGTAGACATGAAGAATAATTAAAGTTATTTATTAATTATTAATACGCTTTACTAAATACAACTATTTTATACAGCTTCGTAATTCTATTTTTATGTTACAGCTCTATGACAAATCTTATGATACGATAAATCGCAATAATCTAATGAAGGAGAAAATAATCGTATAACTATAAATAAACCGCATATTATTTTATCAGTTAACAACAAAATTTAACATTTCAGATTTAACAATTTTGAAAACGGAGTTTAGAAACGTTGACACTGTCGACCCAGGCTTATTATTTTCAAATTTGTTTAAGCCTAATAAATTTGTAGTAATCATTATTTACTTTAATTCAACATACGTGCGAATTGCGTTTCAAACAATTGGTATTATTTGAATGACAAATTATATTAATGCTCGTTGCTCGTATAGATATCTCTTATGTATTATAAATCTTAACAAATTAAGATTGCTTGTGCGCTATTTACTATGCATTATTACAATAGGGATACCGTTTTGCAATTATGAAATGTGTGTTCGCGTTTCAATGAAGTATTGCAGCAGCCATGGATGCCGCGCGCGTGACAACTTTGTACGTTAGCCGGTATTGGGAACTGTTACGTATCGTGCATCCAAACTTTCAGGGGCATTTTGGTGAAAACGCCGTTCAGAAAGTCCTTGAAGTACTTGGCGATACTTGAACTGGCCGCCGGTCTCATCTCCTCGATTATCTCTTTGATGTTCTGATTCAGGAATTGGTTCATCGCCTGGCCGATCACGTTGTTGCCATTCAGGTGATCGTTTATGCGAAATCTGGCTCGACTGAGACTGAAGTCCACTAACAGTCGAGAGATCTTCATGTAACGAACACCGTCCCTCACTTCCTCGACACCTTGCATGCGAGCGATGGCCTTCACGTCGCCTGAAATATCGAGGTGTGAATATGCAAATCAACAGACTGGTGTGCATAAGTTATGAAACGAGCGTTTTGTTTTACCTCGCGAGAATTCTTACCGAATAATGCCCAAAATTCGCCGTGACTTTGAATAGGGAAGAGAAGTACGTTCCCGTTGATGTCGTAACTGCCATGAATATCGATCTTCGGCAAAGACAGATGTAGGTCGAACCTATAGGATGATATGTTCACTCGTACTTTGCTGATGCTGTAGTTTCCTGGTCCTATCGCGGTAATGTTAGTGAAAATCGCCCTAACACGCACTGGACCTTGACCATTCTCCATCTTCAGTTCGGGAATCACCAGCGGTTCTATGGGAGGCACGCTCAAATCTGGGATACCTATTAAGAACTTCTAATTAGAAGTCATTTCCGACTAGAGAATAACGGAAATGCATGGATTAGTAGGAAAGATAACAGTAATGAAATTTCATTAGACTTGTTTTGTCGTGGAATTAATGATAGCGTTTTCTTAAACGCCATGTATGAAAGTTCTTCAGAATTTATAAAGAAATAATAGAGTAGCTTATTTTCTCTTGACTGTACATTACGTATCATTACAGATTTTCATATCGTAAATTACAGGTAAGAGCAATTATGAGACATGGCAGCGCGATACTAATTACATAAAAATTATGTCATGCCGATTCTCTATTAAGCGCTGCTGTTCTTTATCCGGAATTCTTATGTCAGTCATATTTTCGAATTGAATATCTTAGGAGTTAATAAAAAATCTAACGGTTTTTGTTACATCTTTGTTACATAACGCCGATATAAGCTCTTGATTGAAATTAGTCTAATTAAAATTGGTAGATTCAAGCCCGAGATTATGGAGTGTAAATAAAAAATTTTCAAGGATTTGTGAAATTACACAATTTCAACCTATATATGATATCATCTATACATAACAGTACAGTGCATTCATAACTACATGATTACGTATTCTAATTATAAACCTTAACAAATACACTTTTATGTTAAATAGCTGTGACGGATATATACACGACAAATTTACATAATTTTATGTAACATAATTTTATAATCACGGCTAAATAGCTGTGGGTTCGAGCCCAGCAACCACAGTGCTCACACGTATGCATATATTTTATAACTCGACTCTGTCTTATTCGACGACGATGACCGACTTAGTATCACTCGAAAAGGACCCAAAAGAATAGGGCCGAAACGTTGTGTAATAAACTAATAAAATAACTAGCCAGTTGGGTTGACTATAAGTTTCCCGTCTCAATTTTTAATCATTACTGGTGACAATAAGCAAACTCTCCTCTGTCGTAAAGATTATAAATTGAGGACGTATTTCTTTTTTATTATAATAAAGCGCCTGTTTCTGGGCAGTTATTGTTTAAAATGTTTTTTAGCAATTTAATTTCTTTACTTTTCCTTATGTGTGCGAGCTTGAATAAGTATTTATACATATGTATTTTCTATCTTTTTTTAAATGATAATTTTAAAGAGCACAGACAGGTATTTTAACTTTCGTCTGTGCACTGATTTTATACTGGATCGATTTGCAACTCTTTCGAAATTAATAGCTATCGTATCGAGCCAATATTTTGTAACGTCGTGCGTGTAATTATGCCGCAATACATTTCTACGAAGTCCCGAGTTCTGACTTTACCTGTTACATAAAGCAGCATTGTAAGTCTAAATCAGCTGTACAAATTTTCACGATATTTACGGAGCGAGCTATACGGAGGAAAGTTTACGGTGTACTCTTACGACATGAGAATATGATTTATGTAACAATCGCTACTAACATTTTAGTACTTGCCGGCTTATTTTGATAATTGGTTGCTGCATTAATCGACATTGTATAAATTCGATAGAGGAAAAAACAAAATTAGATTTGATTCATTAAAATGGACATTCAATAGATAATGACATTTTCGCGATACTATGCATTGTTTATTAGTTTCTCAGTATATCGATGTTAGTTTCATATCAAACTGTTTAAGAATTTTACGATAAATTGTAAGGTACCTTAAAATTGATCCTACAATTTAAATCGTGATTGTAACTTCAAGCACGATATTAACAGAGAAATATAAACGAATTCTACAATGAATAAAATTAAACTCATTTTTATAAAAGAAAACATTTAATCTTAGAAGATTAAAAATTTACAAGTTAATTGAGTTTTAGTGTGTACTATTTTTTCCGTTTTTATATTAAGATTTTTAATTATACTGTACAGCAAAGTGTTGAAGCGAGTGTCAAAGCTGTGCGATGATGTCACTTACCGTGTCTTCTCGTGTTTGCATTGTGCATTCTGCTAATTTGATGAATCGTCATTTTACTTACCTTTCACCAAATATGGCTGGACATGAGTGAGCGTGTTAAGAAAACACGAATCGATCTTTGGGTCTTTCCTGCTGCATGGCAGTATGTATTCGGCTGTAAAAAAAGAAGCAAACTCGACTGTAAGCGATCAAATATTACGTAATGAGTATGACGTAATTAATAATAGGCATGCTAATAATGATAACATGTATCACGATGTTGAGCAACGGACTAATCGCGATAGTTTGTAGGCAACGCACGTATCCGATATTTCCTATTAATCCTTCTTAAATGTCTTCTCTAGACATTGGACACGTGATATACGTACTTCTTGAATTTAAATCTATGTATAATAGAGCATTTTATCTAAATTGCTAATTTTCATGTACTTTACGATCTGAGGAGACATAATTTCTCATCGTTGGAACTTTCTTAATACACTCTTTGTGGGAGTAATGTCCTCAGAATATGGAATAAACAAATTTTTGAATTAAAACTTCTTTTATATAAAATTCTTTATAATTATGATTTTTATAAGATAAAAATATTATATACCTTAATATAGTAGAATTTTAATAAGTGTGAAAACAACCTTGCTGGCAATTCTTTATTATAATAAAACACAACGTTTCGGCCAGTAATACTGGCCCTCTTCAGGTAACAAACTGTTTCAGAATTCGCTTATTCTGTTTTCTAACGTTGATGACTAGACACATTGTATAATTTCTAACTTCTAACTTAATTTTTACATCTCTAATCTGACGAATCTTTTTTTTTGTAAGCACACTTGTAAGTTTGTTACCTGAAGAGAACCAGTATTACTGGTCGAAACGTATTTTGTTATAATAAGGAATTGCCAGTAAAGTCGTTTCCACACTTATTAAAATTCTTGATTTCTCGACTGGCGTCACGAAGCTGCTATGTAATTCTTAATATAATATGTAATAATTATATTAGGGTATGTACGTGAAATATTAATGTTGTGTAAAAATATGAAATATAATTTCAGATGTACTTGCTACATAAATACTTATTTGGAAAATTGTAGTTTTAAAAATGATTCAAAATAACTTTCTAGCCATTTCACTTAATGATTTATTAACTTGATACTCATCGATTTCTTTTCCGTGTTTAATTATGTATTCCGTTAATTAATTATGTCTAGGTGTACGTACATCTTTATTTATATAAATGTTAATCCGAGTTGATCATTTACTCCCGCGTATCTAAAGCGTACAGTTGCAATACAACGCAGAAGCGCGAATGATACTACGACTTCGTAATCCTTAGGGAGTAAAAATATCGGTATTGACATGCTATGATGGTTTCAATGAATTATTACTGAGAGACACTCGCTGTTAGCTCGAGCGATTCAATAGGTCTTTATGAAGAATGGAATTCATCTTTTGCTCTACAACGTCTTTTCCTTTTTAAGCCTTTCCAGACTTTTGTAAACATAATTAAAATCTGTGTCACAGACCGAAGACATTTTAGTCTCTTCGTGCAATGATTATGTCTGGCCATAGGAATCTGGACCATTTGACGCATCACTGGCATGACTATTACGTCGCCACTTTCACTTGGGACCCGTTCGACTCGACCGAGAATGAACGCGTGCAAAATGAAGAAAAAGAATAACAAATACCGGCTCTAATGCTCATAAAAATGTAAGTCCTACGGAAATAGAAGAAAGAAAAATATTCACTTCTTAGATTATTATTTTTCAATAAATTGTTGAGTTGAGATACAGTTACTCTTCGTCTAAAAATAGACGAAGAAAAAGCCTACAACTGTGTTGTTTTATCACTTTGGTTGTTGTTGGTTGTTGTAAAACTGCTGTCGAGGCAAGAAAGTCGATTTGAGAATAGGAAGAGCGCTGTGATTGTTAGCGCGCGATAAAATTGATCGAAAACGAGTTAAAAGTAGCAATGTGCTCGATGATAAACCAGAAAGCACAAGACACATTGGATTTTGGGTGCAACTAGAACAAAGTCTAGTTCGGCACAAACGCAACGAGAACTCGCAGATAAACCAGCGCTCGCCCAAATAGTTATTCCCAAATATTTCATGTCCCTAAGGCAGTAAGGAAAGACGATCCTTTTTAGCTTCCGTATCCTTGCCTCGTTTAGAGTTTAATTTGCGAGTCACTCGAGTGGAACGTAAAGTATGTGGAGTGGAGAATCGGCGGTGCTTTGCGTACATCGTTGTAACATAGCGGCTTTAACCCGGTACTTTCTCCGGACGATTGCCGATCCTCGACATCGAGAATTACGCAATCTCTGACATAACCTTCGCCACGCTGCCGAGAAACGTTACGCCATGTTCCAGAGACATTATACCACCATAGCCGGTTAGCCGGTGTCACACTTCACACATGCGAATTATTTTGCTAGATCGGCTGTTATTTGTGTTAGAGGAAAAAAATTGACAGTTTTATTAAACAATTTAATACTGTGCATGAAACAAAATGATCGGAATTAACACGAAAGAATCGCGGCGATATTACTGAACTCTCTGAAAATGTTTTAGCAAATACAATATCGTCTTCTGTTTTTATTAATATCAAGGTCATATTGCAAGCCGTTTATTCATATTTTTAACTTCCATGCAATATTTTTAATTTACGAGAAGATTCTAACTCATTATCTATATATTCCGATATTAAAGTAAGTAAAACTGTGCTTGTGTATTATTTCCGATTTATTAAATTGTAAGAATAAAAGACAAATAATTTAAATTAATAACATTTTTAATAATGACCGTTCTAATAACTTTGTAATTACTATTAAAGTTCTTTTGGTCATAATAATTGTAAGTAAATATCTATAGGTATATATAGATTATTACACGTCACTTTTAATTACTTTTAATTGATTATTAGTTTAGTTTTATATTGTAGGGAACTATAATGTGAATAACATTAAAGATAATAAAATAATATGTTAACCCCCTTATGTCGATGAATGTGCGATTTGATAAATGTTGGAAATTTACAATTGAATATAAAATGTAATCAGATAATTCTGAAGTTAAATCACCGTTGCTGTGCTATGTAAACGTTAATCGTTTTGGCGTACAATTAGAAACAAAAAAAGATGTTCACTTCTTTATTTAAAAAAAAGTGAAATATTACACATTTATGATTTTGTTATAAGAGGTACGATATGTTTTATTTAATGAGATGCAAAGAAATTACCACAAAAATTGCTGTAAACAATTTAACACATTTTCAAGCTCAGTGATGCAAACATTTGGATCTACGTATCGTCGTAACGAAATAAATAGCCAGCAAATCAGTTATATGACTCGCGAAAGTCGAGCGTATAGCTTCGATCGAATTTGGAAAATGTCGCGGAAAAGTTCGCGTGATTGATGGTTGGCAGTCACAATAGCAGAGAGTGCAGGTGCAATCAAGACAACGGCTTCCGTCATGTAATCATACGGTACGCCCATTGTTTGTATTTCTTCGGATTACGACGAAAGAGAAAGGCAGATATGCTCGAAATGTTCGGTGGAAAATGTAAAGGAAAATGAGAGGTGAGATTACACTCTCGCGTAATCATTTCCTATTATCTATCTTTTGCGTACACACGTAATCAATGTGACCGCACTCTCCCCCCTCTCTCTCTCATTGTAGAATTAATGTTAATATAAAATTAATGCATACTTTATAGACTAACAAAGAAATGAGCCCTATTGTATCATCGAATTGTTAATAGCGAGAATTGTCAAATAGAATAGTAAGAAACTTCTTTCCGGAAGTGCATGAAAGAACATTTATTCTTTCGCGATTTTTTACCTTTAAATTGTGATGTGAATTTGAATGTTGAATAATCGTATAACATTTTGCAACTTTAGAGTTCGATATTAAAATCTAAATTTTAGAAAATACATAATTATATGATATAAATTATTAAATAGTCGTGAAAATACACAATTAAAATTTGAAATATTTTCATAAACGTTTGGAGTGCACGAGGTTAGTATTTTTATTGTTACTTTCAATTTTAAAACCCAACCGAAAACAATCATTTGTATGCGCCTGAGTGGCGGTGTCATGGGCGATCGGGAATCTAATGAATATTACCACCGCGGTATCTATGACTAACAAACGCGCACGCCGCATAGCAATCAGCGTCAGTGTAGCGTCTCAGATTCCAACAATCGCATGAAATGCAATTTAGTAACGATTTTATAATTGACTGGCGACATGAAAATTGGGCGGAAAAAATTATTTCACGATAATCTTACGAGTAGGGAAATCTGGCTCGTTGAATCCGCTGTTGATCGTTTCCGTGACATTTTGGTCCTCGCAGGATACCAAGATGGCCCACCAAAGACCCAGGAGTAGAGTGGAAGCTGTCTTCGCGAAGGCCATCCCGGTGGTCCGCTCTTCCCGATAAACACGACACTCCTCACTTTCTCGTTCTACGTCTGTAAAAATGCGAGCAGAACCTTAGCGGTCACGCCGTACGGTCGATTGTCCCTCGCAAGGGGTGCTTACAGAAAGATTTATTTTTAATTCCAACACCGGCAACTCTTTTGGCAATTTTGTGAGAACGCACAGAAATTACAGGCCGCGATGTCAATGAATTCGTGAAAGGGCTCGATATCAGGAAGAAATTCAATGCGAACGAAAATTGAATGTTCTTGCCAACGAGTTGTGCGGCTTCTTTGTAATAAACTAAAGACGGGACCCCTTCAAATCCTGTCTTATATGCGCAGTGGTTCCCCTACTCTAAAGGTGCCACTACTTGCCGACTTTAAGGAACCAACCATCGTGATCGTGATCACTTCTTTCCCTATCTACCGCGACAACGCACCCTGAATCGACCTTTCTATGATTGATATTGATATCTGTAATTTATGATGATCTTTGACTGGTGGATGCTATGACACGAAATTTGCATACGATTACGACAATCGTAACAATCGTTATTGGATGTTGTAAAAGGTCAGTTTTTACGGTCGGAAATTTTTTTTTTGGAAAACAGTGCCGTATGGATCTTCATGAATTTTATCACTTGCCTTTTACGCAATAACATTGTATTTTACATTAAATCTCAATTATTTTTACAAAGTCTTTTTGTCTTGATGAGAGTGGTCTCACAATTTTCATGTCTCCTGCATTATGAGAAATAAACGCACGCAAACTATAGTGCTATGTTGTGTGCATATGAGTTTCCTATTTCTACATTGATGAAAATATGTCATAGTAATTAATATATACATATACACGTGCCCCGTATGTTTAGGGAGTAAAACATCCCTTTTGCCCCGAAAGAAAAAATATTTTTTTCAAAGGGATGTGTCATCCCCTACATACGGAAGTGTAAAAAAAATACGTATCTCTTATTTTTGTTTCTCTAACAAAGAAAACGTCATATGAAGCTCATTAAGATCGAAAGGGGATATCTCAGCGGGTTCCCTTGTGAGTCGTTTAAATTTATATTAGATTTTGTATCAAATTTTATTTATAATTTTACGTACTGTGTGTAAAGAAATATTGAAAGAAATACAATACCTATATGAAATACATATTAAAATATACGCATAATTGAAACATACGAAACATAAAATTATAAATATAATTTTATTTTGAAATCTAACATAAATTATAAAGCATTTTAGATAGGATTTATAATTACATTTTTTTTCCTTCAAAATCCAGCTATTTACAAATATGTCTTCTAAATGCCGTCAAAATTGTTATTTTCAATTTTTTAGTGAGTGAAACATTTTACAAATAATTTCCCTAATTAGGGCTTTTAATTTCATTTCATTTATTTAAGTTTGACTTTATATTTATTAAATCAAAATTACGAGCAAACGTCAAAGCAAGGATAAAAATGAATAAGATTATTTTTGTCCTGCAATCGTTAACCAACTTGATCGGCCATGACCATTTAATGTTCCATTGTTTCTTTAGAAGTGTCCTCCGAGAAACCTGATCTTCCATTGTGCTTCCTGTATCGTGCTTCCTGTATCGCATACATGCACATACAAATAAAGTAGTCGAACGAGTGAAAAGATAAGTTAAAGTACGTACCACAAATCTTTTGCATAGTGGACAATCAAGTTCACCTCGACATTGCTGCAATTATTCTTGTCTCACCTTGTGTAATATATAAACATATTTTTACATGGAGAACCTTTAATGGAAAAAATAGGGTGTTCCAGGAGGAAAGGTCAATGGGGAATGGGTGGGGAATGGGATATATATTTATATAAACACTTTTGCTTAAAAATGATCAATGCTATCACTTTCCAGAATTGACCTTTCTCCTGGAACATTTTGCACTGGTGAATGCTACTTACCTTTTGTAACAAGCCAAGAAAATATGGTATAAACGAGTTTGCCATAATCATCTACTTCCCTTTTTACAATATATCAATCGCAAATAAGTATAATATTTATATGAATTAAATATCAGTGAATATAAACAAACGTAAGTTATAAATTCAATATGTGAGAGATATAAATGAATATTATAAAAATTAGAGAGAGAGAGAGAGTATTAATTAGTGTTATAGTTATATTACACTCGAACAAATTGCATATTAATTAATATTAGCTATTTAAACATTTTTTAATCTTTTTTACGCTACACATCCTGTGTTGCAAGGTAAACATTATACAACAGCAATTAAGCGTGAAGTAAGTAGAACGGTCTTTAGTAGGATTGCGACAAGATCTTATAATTACATTGTAAGAGAAGAGACTGAAAAACGAGAATTGCAGCGAAAAAGACCGAAAATGCACAGCTTCTATATTAGGAATTTCTGTATGCAATTGCAAGCTTATAAGAATAAGAATTGTTTGAAAAATATCACGAGACACGGTAGTGTCTCGCGCCAAGTATAAGCGATAAGCTAAAACCACGCGTGCGACACCGACCGTGTAGTTTACGCGAGTACGCGAGTTGACGGGCCCTCAGAATTTCGGATCTTAACAACGGCTGATCCGACGAACTTGAGACTGTGCTTAATCGATAGCTTGGGTACGATTTGCATAATAAAAGTGTTTTTACTTTTCTCCTACGTGCCCCATGAGTAGAGATATTGCAATGCAAATACATATATACCATACTATAATTATTATTTTCTTAATTTAAATTGAATAATTCAACGCGCTACGAGTGTATTGTTCTTGGTTTATAATAGAGCTTGCTAATATTTGAAAAAAGATATCATCAATTTATTATTAATATATTATATCGTATACTTTTAATGGAATATTTGTAAAGAGTATACTATTGAATTACACATACAGGATTTATGATAATAGCGCTATGTATTTTATTTGTTTTACATAAGTTTTCAAATAACATGCTTATTTGTCGCGAATTTGTTATTTATCTTTACACCTTAATTAACCTTGGTGTAATCCTCGTTTTTTGAGTTGCAACAGGTTACGGACAAAGAACTTGTCGGATTGCTATCTTGAAGTACAGAAGTTTGTAAAGTTTTACATAGTAACAAGATCACCTTGACGTTGTACATCCTTTCACCTTATGGTGTACACAAACATTTTATTTTTTGAATTGTGTTGTTTATTCGTAAATATTCTCTCTACACATACTATATTATAAAATATATAATTAAAAATGAATTTAATTTTTAATTTTGAATTATATATCTTATTTATTAAATATACACAGTTCAATAACATTTTCTCTTACATTTAGTCTTTCCAAATAATTTTACACAGGAAATGCAAAATGTACGATACCTGTACGAGGAAATACACAAATAAAACAGGATATCGTGCTATTAACTTAAAATTAAAATATCAAGTTTATCCTTTACGCGAATAAAATTCATGTAAAATAGTAATCCGCTTATAGCACTTGTCGAACATCAATAAACTGTTTCCATGACAGCCATTGTATATGATAAAGGAAACAGTAACGCTTTAATATCACAAATTAATTAATATTACAAAAATGTAACAAGAAAATTTAGTTTAATTTTAAATCTTTTCTTTTCAAAAGCCGATAGCGCGCATCGTTCAAGAAAATTTTTTAGTTTTATTCACATCCTAAGAGATGTATTTCCAATATACTTAACTGTAAGAATGGTCAACAGCTTAAAGGAGTAAGAAACTTACACGTCATATCTTTATGTGTGGATTGTCGAAATTATAAATGATATCATAAGGATACAAGTATTTAAAGTTATAAATTGTGGATATCAGATTATTCAAAAAGTATTTATTAATAATTGCAGATACTAGAAAAAAGTTATAGAAAATAAATAAATAGTAGAATGTTGTTTTAATTGGGATATTATTTCCGGCGAGACTGAATGTGGAAATTGGAACATTTGAAACACTAGTTTTCGTATCTAAAATTTATATACATTCCCATAAAATGGGCAATCATTAATTATGCTGTAGATTATCGAATTTATAATTATCAGATTATGAATGAAAAATTCAATACTTTTAAAGAATAGATTATATTTAAAAAAATAATTGCAATGTTACAAACAAATTTTGCAGGAAAAATTCTTTTGTGATATTTTCCCAAATAAAATTTTCAAGTTTCTTATTATATGTATATTTTAATAACCATTATGTGTGTATGTGTTGAAAACATTAAATTATTTAAACAAGATAGGAATGTAAACATAATACGAGTACATTATTAACTTTCCGATTTTTAAACGACTTGATACTACAAAAGAATTTTTTCTCTTATATAACTATTGACTTTTTAGTATTATTTAATAATGGATCATTTTTATTGTATTATTTTCAACAGTAGTGCCTGGTACATAAAGTTAAATGCAATTGAATATTCGGAATGTCACATTTTAATGCTTTATTGCCCATATGTAGAACAGCAATTAAAATGCTGACGCTGTTTGCTCGCACAAATTAAGGAGACGTTATCGACTTACGCTTCTAGTTGAGCAAGATTATATAAACTACATTCCCGGTTTAAAAGGCTGAAATTATGCATCCAGTTAGAATTGCATATTCAGTCTCTACATAATTCCTACGACATCGTTATGAAAGAGTAAATTATTTATTATATATACGTTAAAAAGCTTGCTTATTATTTTGAATAAGAATAATGAAAAGAGGTAAATTAAATAAGTCTATTTGCAAATTAAATAATTAATTCCTAACAGAAATAAAGAACTAAAATGGATAATGAAAGTGACAAATACGTTGATTTATTTAATAATAAACTTTTATTTTTAAAATCTATCTACGTGCTTAGAGAATGAATGCAGAACGACAATGTATTTAAGGTGGTAGCAATGTGTCCAATGGAAATTTCGAGTAAATCTTATTCGCGAATGTTTTGAAGATCTCCGAAATGGTAGGGTCGAGAGTTGGCTTAATCTCGGCCTTCACAGTATCCCAATTGTCGTTTAAAAAGAGGTTCATGGCATTCGATAGGATACTATCGCCATTGAACAAATTGTCTAGATGGATATTGGCTTGTTTGATGTTGTAATCTATGTACAGGTCGGTAACGCGAAAGTGAGTCTCACCAGTTTTTTGAGACTGATAACGTTCACCTTGGACAGTAGCTATAACGTCGATATCCGTAAAATTGCCACGTGCCAATCCGTTTCCATTTATAGGAAGCATCAAAATACGTCCTTCTATGTTGTAACGCGCGTCCATCTCAAGACGTGGAAGATATAGTTTCAACTTAATGCGATTGTTATCAACGTCGACTCTGGAAAAGATGACTAAATAAGTTCTGATTTTTGACGCTGTGTGATTTAAATTATTTTAACGCAATTTGATACATGTGTGTGTATAGCAAGATGAGAGAGCATTCTTTCAAGCATCGAATTTCGAACTGTGAATAAATTTTAATTGGTCTTTTAATCTGGTCCACCACTCGACTCACGTACTTGATGGTCTTTAATATGAAACTTGTTCCACCTTGAACCTTGATGTCGGTATACGTCGATCTAATGGAAACTGGACCAGCTGACTGGCTAATTTCAATCCGTGGCACGCGAAGTGGCTCACAAGGTGGTATTTGCAATGCTGGAATGCCCGTCTTCAGATAAGGCCTTAACAAGTCGATGCTTCGCTTTACGCATTCGTTCAGATTCGGATCATTGCGGTGGCATATCTTTAGATACGGTGCTAAAAAAAAAGATGCGATTTGTAATTTTCTCTTTGTAAATGTGATTAAAATAACGTTGTATATTAATAACTTGACAATTAAATGATATTTAATATTTAATACTAGGTATATAAATCGTTGGAAAGTATCGATAAAAACTTTAGATTATTATCTGTTGTGTTAATAAAAATGGTTATATGTACCAAAATATTATATAATAAATTTTGAAACTATTAGTTTTATGAAACGCTCTTATAAAATAAATCTTATAGGTAAATATTAATAACCGATACTTTTTGCTTCTATCCAATGATATATTAAATAATACTCATATGAATGAAAAAATAGATATTACACAGGGAGAATTTTCTCTTAAATTTTAACCTGAAAATCATGTAATTGTGGGACAACATGGCATTTTGAAGAACTTCATGAGAGTTTTTTGAAATTTTATCATATATTCTACTAGTAAAATGTAAACTAATTGTAAGTATAATCACTAGTAAAATGTATGGTAAATTTAAAAAAATTCACAAACTTCTTCGAAATGTTGTTCAACGATTACATAATTTTCAAGATAAATTTTAAGAAAAAATTCTCTCCGTATAAATATCATATTAAAGCAATGAGACTTTTTTACAAGAATATGTTTTTGCATGACGTTTCAATGTAAGTTATCTAATTGAACGAAACTGATGTAAATAGTACTAAACTCTATATTTAAGAGATGAAGACGTTTAAGAAACACTAAGACAAAAAATCAATATTAATTGCACAAACGCATGAACATCTATCAATCAAGAAATAAAGTTTCAATCCGTCCTAGTTTCTCTCTGTATTAAACAGATATTAAACTAAAAATTAAAGGCCAACAGTCATTACACTTCTCAATTACGGATATTCTTCAAAAATTGCCTGAAAATCATTGATATAAAATCGATACTTCGCCTATCCAGTTAATCTTTAACAGTCGCATAAATAAAAGAATGAATATCATATATTACATATTTAAATAAACTATTTTGTAAAATAATCCATATTACTTACGTATATTATGGCCTGTCACTACGATAAATCCAGTTATCAGAAACGAGAACGTAAACATATTCGCGCTGGTATGCATTGTGGTTGCGCTGGATTCCTTGCGTAGAATAACTCGTCGATACGTCGAAGTGAGTTCTTTCGATCATCGTAATGCGCTGATCAGGCGATAATTTCCTTCATGCTTATTCGACATGAAATGTTTTTTCTCTTTGTGACACAATTGAATTTACGTACATGAACGTGTGATACAACGCGGATTAATATTTAATCGTTCATTAATTTCTAATTGATCTTTCATGAGAAACATGTTTGTTTGAAATTTTTGATATCTATGATAGCTCTCCATCATGTTTATCGGCGGAAGGTCGTTCGAGGACCTTGCTCTCCATTGCATTATCGCATAATGAAGGAATTTAAGAAAATGTACAGATTGTCGAAGAAAATATATCGGTGTCTGACTAAGAGCCACTTAGCCAGCATCATATAAGACTGGTCCATGGCCCAGATCCTCTATGCCCTTCCATGATCAACTATAAAAACCTCCAGCAAGTGCAACGCCGGCTTGCAGACTACACCAGTGCTCTATGTTTGCGCACGATTGCTGAGCCACCTCGAGCATTAGTTTTTCACAAAATCATCATCGATTATTTTCAAGATGTTGTCTAGAATTGCGTATAAGAAACTAACGAGACGCAACGTATGTTGAATCGGATGCTGATGTGCACGATTGTCGTATGCTTTCTATTGATATTTGTCGTTATCGGTGTCATACTGGTGTTAATCTACAAACCGATTTACGTTTGGGAAATCGACATACCCTATTGAAGAATCCGAAGGATCTCACCGTTTGACTCTACAGTTGTAACGAGACATTATTGCAATTTTCGACATCAACACGAAGTTCGAAATCTAGTATAAATTATCGACTGTGACAAAATGGTTAGAACAGCGCAGAGAAGTGTCATTCGTGTGCTTCTGGTACTCTCCGTGACGACTTTGACGAGATGCGCGTTGCTGGAGATGTCCCGGATGCTTTGGAACAGGACGGTGTCCGGAGGCATAACGAAAATAGGCAAGTTAGACCCGTTGAGGGTGCCGTTGATCAAAGTTGATCAATCCGAGGGCGACGCCAATTACAGAGTGATCCTGAGGAACTTGGAGATCGTCGGTCTCAATGGATCGGTCTTGGAGAGTATTCACATCGCTCGTGGCGGACTGAGGGCCAACCTGAGCGAACTCATGGCCGGATACGTGAGTTACAGCGATCTTAGGGATGTGGATTCTATCAGATATAGATTCCACACTATGATGACGGAGCCCAGTGTGCCCAAGGAAAGTTTCGAAGCTGTCGTTTCGCCCATGAATCGAGCTGCTGACACAAGGCCCTACTCGCGGTATCAAGATGCACGCTTCGAACGATTGCAGCAGGATCCACACGGCACCAGGATGTTCGAGCAAGGTCGGCAGTATGATCGGCGGACTCCTTTCGGCGCTGATGTTACGTCCGGTGGTTTTTATAGAGGCAATTTGAGAGCATCGGACAATTTTGAAACGAATTCTGGGAATATCGAAAGTTTCAAGCGACCTGCTTACGTCCAGCCGATTTATATGCAGAGACCGAGGGGTTTCCAAGGATATCATGGAAATTCTCAGAGTAGTGAAGACACGATCGACTGCGACGATACAAAGACCTCTCAGAGTTTTAGTGGAAATCAAGGCAATCGAGAAAATCAACGATATCGACAAGACGCCAATGCCAGACATTACGGGGACCGAGTCGGGGATGCTGAGGTTTAAAACATCACTTTATGTATAGTAGTGTTTTAATAATTTAATTAATTAAGTCAAGTTAATTTTTTTGCCGTAATATAAACAGCCAGATTTTAATTATTTATCACAATATTATTTACATTGTTATATAATATTTTTTATGTAACTCAAATTTATTGAAAAACGAAGCGCAAGCAACATGTAGTAACACTTTCAAACGACAACATTGATTAAAACAGGTTTCCGCGTCGGAAACAACCGAGACTAGATTGAAAAACCAGGGTGACGTAAGACCGTCTGCGTTGTATAATAGAGAACAGTCTCGGCGATCGGACGTTGCATCTTCCGGCAATGTTAAATCGCCGAGAAACGGAATGAGGGAGCGATTTGGTTACATCGACATCGTCTACGCGGACGATAAAACTAATGGCAGTGTAAAGCGTTTCGGTAATCTGGGTATCGATGCCAGAGAAAATCGGCGAGTATACGGCATAGAAGACGTCATGAAGGTGCCGAAGATTTTTTGTTCTCTTGAAGTTACGATCTTCTTTAAGTTACTCTACTAAATACCGTACTAAATTGCATACTAATAGCGTTTTCAAATCTTCGTATAATTTGTAAGATATGTTTTGATTGTAAATCTCCGATTGTAAATCCCTGTGTTGCAGAACATTCGGGAGAATACAAAATTCATTATCTACAATTTTACGGAGGGCGAAGCCCTAAGAAAGAGAAACGACATGGTTAAAACTGCGATGGAAGCCAAAAGATTGAAGGATCTGATCAGATATGCGAACAACTATCAGGAGCAGCAAGGGTTCTTCGAGGAAGGCATGCAGCTGATTTACCATTATGGCATGGATGTAAAGAACGGCAGCGTCTCTCAGAGCCTCAATGATACCAAAAGAACGAAACGTGCGCATCCTGAGGAGACATCTGAAGTAAGAGTACTTAAACGTTCTCGATTCAGTAAAAAAATGTAGATCTTTCGAAAGTGTTCCGTAATTAATACAGTTGTCTAATAACACGAATACTGTGATTCACTCACACGATTCTCGAAACGATTCTAGGAGGACGTGATGCATGTGATTTTGAAAATACGCGTCCCACTGCTTCGCGTGAAGTCTGAGTACACGCTTTTGGGAAAAGTGGGAGGGGAGATGTTACGTGGCAACGGTCTGCTTGCCGGGAACTTTAGTAAGAAAATACTCGCATTTTGTCGCTGAGATCGCGTTTAGAAATAATGAATAGCTAAGTATTTCCATTGTCTCAACAGCCGATGTAGTAGGCGACTTTACGCTTGAACTGAAGAAGATCAACGAAGAATTGATGATCGTTCGTACTGCTAGAGCGAAGCTGTTCGCGAAAGATAGGAACGTCAGTCTTCAAGGTATGGACGAGAAAGGACCGGTGCAGGCTATTCTCACTCATGGTAAATATGAGCAATTTAAACATACACAGATTTGCGACCAGACGATCAAATCGTCTTTTATTGCCTCTATTGCAAATTTTCATATCTACTTTCTTGGGAAGCAAATAAAATATTAGCAGCAGTCCCTCTTTTAAAGAAGAGAAATAATAGTTGTATCAACTGTCGCAACAAATCGATTGATGGCCAAAAATCCAGCCCTTACACCTGTATGTCGTCACGTTTTCTTTTTATTGCGGTTTTTCCGTAATTGGCAGAATGAAAAGCCGAATTCTTTCTTGGAAAGTAGCGTATACCGAATCGAGATATGGCGCTTATTGAGCACAGGTATCCTGCGTACCGTCGACTGTAAACATATTTGTGCATATAAAGGGGAGCACGGGAGATACCGCGTGCGTTCTACATCTTATAACGTTCCGTACCCTTTTTTGAGAACATGAGAAAACAAGAACGCGATATATGTATATATGTCAATTAATGCGTCGCAAATTGTCGGAACTGATCGCGCGTACGTACGCCGACACTCGAGTAAAAGTTCTCGCTTTCTCGCGAACGCGACCTCGCTGGTAACGAAACGATCCCACGCGACAGTAACTCGGGTAATTTCTCATTATGTTGTTGACTTCTCTCCTCCACCTGCTTCTCTACCAGGTTTAATGGCTGCGGAGGCAGTCGCCGCGATGCTCGCCGACGACTTCGCGACCAAAGGACTTAGTGAGAGAACGGCCGACGCATTGATCTACAGGATGTACAAGGATTTACCAGTCAATTAATCCGTCCATGTGGTCGCTCGAGGCGATCGAGAACTTTACGTCATCTTTCTGCTACAGTCATGTGTCATTTTATATTCATTTCTTGATTTTATTTTCTTGGACGTTTATTTGATAATTACCGCACTTTATTTATCGTTATTTTAAGACGTTTATTTATTCTACAGATTTACTCTATATATCGATATAATAAATTATTTCTATTGGCGCGCCTAATTACACTTATTTTATATGCGTTTATTATGTTTGCATGATTTATTTTCTCTACATTTATTTATTTTAGCCATTCATCTATTGTACATGAGAGATTAATTTAGAGAAGCCATACTTCATATTAATTTTATTAAATTAAGTGACAATACATGTTAATAAAATAAGTTTTAACAGCAACAGCGAGGAGGTTTTGTAAATATTTCTTTCGCTCATTGCTATTGTATATATCATTGACAAAAGAATTCAGTATTCTTTACATAATCGTATTTAAAACATTTGACGAATAGTAACATTCTTTACTCTAATAACAGAGCGAAAAGTCGCTTTGTATTCCAAAATTATATACGAACGAGTTATTTTTCTGTTGCACGTGTACAAATTTTTTGTTTATGAGCAAATTGTATATTCATTATAGTCACAATAATAGAAGTATATTATATCAAAACCGTAAACTTTCGTCAGTCTGCTTTTTATCGATGAATCTTGTCTAATTCAACCTTGCGATTATTTTGATCATTTAGCATTTGCGTTTTTCTCTTGTTTTCCTTCCATTAATTTTATTTCATGTTCAATTATTTGTCATACTGATCGGTTTCCACAAGTGTTACTTTTGAAACATTAGTGTTACATGATTGTATAAAATTGATGGAGATGGAAGATGATTAATAAGTATTTACATAGCCACTAAGATAATCATAAAAAATTCTAACTAGCCTTAGCAATTACAGCGAGAATAAAAAAGGCTGCATAGGCAAATAGCAAGAAACGCGGAAAGAAGAATAATTTCAATCGTGTGCATTGGAATTATTGATTATTTACATATCTTAAAATACATATAGAGGTAAAAAATCAGTCTGCTGAAGTCAATTATAAGTCAATCCGATTAGGACTATTGAACAGCTCAGGAGCAAATAGAAGAGTCTACGGGGAAATTTTATGTCCAACAATTGAGTAACTTCTCCATCTAAAGAAAAGGGCATGCCCATAGATCGCAGCCCTGGCCTATGACCTGAAAGTCCTTGTTGACATTTCCAGGTATCGTAATCCCCGCATGTAACTTTGTACCAACCTTTTGCACGCGCTTATAATTCTAATCTCACATATGTAACGTTTACCGCATACGTATTACTTCATCTTATTATGCGTCTGTATTATGTAATTGAGATTCAATAGCTCGTTATGCTTTCGTGTCTAACAATGCGGACGTGATCAAGATTTTTCCTATATTTCAATCTTGACGCCAAATTAAAAATATTAGCTAATACGTTGCTATCTAACACAGTTGCCCAACATTGGCCGAATAGAATAAATTTCTAGTACAAATGATTTTAACTGATCGAAATGGTGCATTAATTAAACGAAATATTATTTATATTGACGTAATAATATTATATAATTTTGCATACGAGATATGTACGTACAGATTTGAGGAACGATTCTAGATTTATGGCCGGTTGCTCCAACCTCTTCGCAAGTTAATTAATAGTTAAATCATATGTCTTTGCTTTTTCTTTAAATTAGACAAAGACAGGCATAGAATTTAACTATTAGTTAGCTTACCAAGAGGTTGGAAAAACCGGCTCTTAAAGTGCAAGTAATGATTAAATGATTTTTTATTTAGGTTGAGAACTATTCACTCTTTAGAACTGGTTTTTCTTAATGCTTTTGTATACTAAAGTACAAAAATTATTACATAAATGTTATCGAATTTTAAACATTTAACACAGAAACACGGTACCAATTATTATTGGTTTGAATGACACATGAAGTTGTCCTCAGTCAAGACAATAACAAGTCAATCAGAGACAATATATTTAGAGAACGGTAACAGAAACGGGGAATCGCTCTAAGGGGTTATTCTTGATCTGATATAATGGCTTTGTCGCCCCAGGCTGACAATCCCGTTACTACGCGCAGTTTCTTTGCTATTAGTCGTGCGTAAACAGAAAAAAATGACGCGCACATGGCTGCAGTAGCAACAGCAGCATTCCGAAAGCCAGTGATCCCGCCTTAGAATCACGATGCGTAAACAGCCGTCCTCATCCTTGGACGTCGCGAAACAGGTCCGCGTCCCCATCGTCACGCGGAGACGTCACGAGATTGCAATACTCAGGGTACTCCCGTAATTCCGGCGGATGCGCGTAAACCGCGTGTACAGTCACGTGCACGTGCATATCATGTGTATACGCGTGTCAAGCTTGGCTACGGCCCTGACTGAGTTAAGAGGAGGCATTCTACCGTGATAAATTCACCATCACCTGAGCCGTCGTCGCCCGAGTGGGGTGGAAGCAGCGGAGAAAGTACACTTACTTTATATATATCTGCGCGACGGGGCCATCGTACGCATTTTCGATACCGCTGTCGCTAATTGCTAATACGCGCAATCTCGTGACATAGAAAAAAATAGCCGAAATACGCCGGGGCCACGCACGGAGGGTCATCGAAAGGATGATGCTGATCGGGCTTCTAGTGTTCGTCACGTGGGCCAGGACCGCCGTGTCGGAGCTGCGTAAGTTGCCTTTATTGAAAGCACAATTATTATTTTACTTTAGTATTATGTAGAACGAAAATAAGCAAGACATTGATTACGGTTGCTTATAATTAAGAAATATAAATATAAGTTAAATTAAATTGTATTATTGTATATTTACCGTTACGCGGCCCGCATAACTGGAAGGCTCGGTAAAGTACGGAGAGCGCTTAAGCAACGAAACAGGAAGTAAGATAAGGCAGGATAAATATGCTTTAAATAAGCAAAGACAATACCATTAATTATACTGTACTATTAATTATATTTTAAAAAAAATTCATTACGCAAAAAAGTATAAAATGATTACTTGTAATAATAATGTAAGAAACTTCAGATAATTTTTCTCCTTTTTTGGATAATAATAAATAATTTGTTTGCGTATGATACCGTATGGTCTTTTTTATTCATAAAAATAGCTAGGAAATTAAATCAATTGCTGTGTAGTCACTAAGTGACAATTAAACAGAATAATTCTGTATATTCTTGATTATTCATTTTCTCTTTTTATACTATTTGCGTTGATTGGAATATTATAAATACAAGGTTTTAATCTGACAAAAGGTGGAAATTATTTGATATATAGAATAAATTCATATTAAAAGGAATAGACTTTACGACAATTAATACGATCAAGAAAAGATAAAATTAATTGGGTATACACAAAGACAACTTTTTTATGCGAAAATTGTATTCAAAGGTTCATCGAGTATTTATGTGAAATTAAGTTTCCGTTTCATTCTTTACGTAGACTGCGTAGACAAACGTTTCTGTTTGTGTTCGTATTTATAAATATCAAGATTGTAATTTATTTCTATTATTGTCTACATTTATCCACGGAGCAAAATCAAAATTTAATTTTGATTGAGTTATAAATCCGACAAAGTTACAAAATAAATTTCTTAATTTTTAAAGCTTTACACGAAAAATTCACATATGTTTTATTTTTGAACGTAAAATTCTTTCTTGGCTTCATCACTCATTGCCACCTTGTATATGCTAATCAAATATATCTAATGGTACCATTTTATGCAACTCATTTTACAACTCTAACATATTACGCAGAAAAGTAAGATGCAACCTATTATTAAATCGCGTTGCAAGAAAATGTTTATTCCGAAATCATTGAATAAGAGCCGGATCTTTCTGTGATAACATTTAGTAGATACGGTTAAGAAAGAACTCGAAACTAGATTTACACGTGTGTCTATAGATTAGACTACAAATCATAGTTTTATTTACACACGATCTAAATTGATAGAACATGTTAGAAATAACAGGCGTAATTACCTCAGATCATAAATACCTTCTGATTCTATAGTTGTTTTCATAGCAGTGGTGTTAGCTGAATAGCTAATTTAGATAACGTGTTTAAGTGTGTTATTGAGACTAAGAAATATTTATTCAGGCTAAGAAGGTGACGCAATTGTCTGGTCGGAATAGGTATTTAAAGTTACGCGTAAATCGCTGACGCATCTTATGTGCAATTATCAGTTTTTCTTTCGTAATTTCTGCATATGATGTACTTGCATCGCAGGTATGTATGATTCATAAAAGTGTGCCGACTGTCATTGAGAAATCGATAGAAAATCCGGAAGTGCAAAACGTTTTCGAAGGAAAATTGAATGAGTATGCTTGCTATACGGAACGATACTGCCGTTACATACTGTATGCGAGAGACAATGTAATTTGCAATTTAATTTTGCACTTTTACTTGTGTAATGGCTTTCCTGTCACCGCTCGAGCTCGCGCATGTAAAACGATATAATCTCGAACGTGTTCTTGTTCTTGGCGAAAGAAATTTTGTATCTTCATGTCTTCACAAAATACCTATATTGAGTTCAATTAAAAATTAATAGAGATCTATATTTATTAGAAATGTTTTTTTTAGCAGTTAAGCTTTATATTTGTTTGCCATATCTTTCTCTATTATTTAAGAATAGACTATTTATCTATTCGTTAGTAAATCCTTTTTTAATCCTTCACACGAATTTCTTTTGATTCATGTGACACACATAAATTCGTCACATATTAAGCATCAATAAAAAAGGAGCGAAATATTTGTTTACCCGCCGGCTTCGTCACTTCACTTTCTACCGTGCACTTTCGATTTTAGGCCTGGCCGACTGATTGGCTGGAAAAAAGCCGCTCTCTTAGTCATCGTCGAGTTCTTACCATTATCGCGTTCGCTCAACCGACATCGCAACAGGGTGTAATGCTTGCGTTTGCTCATTTAAAGGTGCCTAATGACTATCTTTCACAACATCATGGCATCTTGGAAACTGTACAATGTACCTGCAAAAAATTTGCAGCTTGTTTAACTCTGCTATGTTGAATTATTGCGTATAATATTAGCTTCGTATATCAAAGAGATTTGAGCAATTTCCGACAAAAGAAAATATGTGTAATTAGAAATAATTAATAATGTCTGTAATTTTTTTTAATGAGCGGAAAATCATTTTGCCTACTTCATTTACCATAAATTATACGTAGGAAATTTATAAGTGTTCGAAAAGAATTAAATATCAGAAATGTATTTTCAAATTTATATTCCGGTGTTATAAATATTATATATATTAATATCCCGTTTATATTATATATATATGTATATATAATGACTTAATCTTATCTTCAATCTTTTTACTACTAATGAAAAAGATAAATGTAAAATTTATCTAAAATATACATTATAAGATATCATTAAAATATATTTAAGATAGATTTTCGTTTACAGATATCTGAATCAGAGAGGCTAAAAAAATAAAAACGTAATGGGAGAAAATATACAAATATATAATTATATATGTTTAAATACTTAATATTTTATTGTCTTATATCTTAATTTCGATATTCTTAAATTCTGTAGATTGTAACTTGTAATATAAAATCCGATGTTTGTTTTTTTAACTTAATGATGTGTTACGATAAATTGTTAATATAGCTAAATTAATATAAAGCAATTATTGTACTTATATTAGCATTAACATGCAGTTGATGTTTTCAGCTCCTGGAGTAACGTCATGCCCACGAACGAGCAATTTATCGGAATACGATAAGTGTGTTTTAAAGCAGCTACAAGCGATGACGCCGTATTTCGCCAAAGGAGTGCCTTCGTTAAAGCTACCAGCTTTAGATCCTTTGTTTTTGCCATCCTTGACCATTGATAGAAACCTAGAATCCTTGAAAATCAGGGCCAACATGAGCCAGATTCGCGTTTACGGCGGCACGAATTTCATTGTGCAGGATCTCAAAGCGAATCCCAATGACTTGACGATTTCTATCAAGGTTCGGCTGCCTCATATGTATGTAAACGGCGATTATGATGTTCAGGGTAGGCTGTTGTTGCTGCCTCTAAGCGGAATTGGTAACTTTAAAGGAAACTTCAGTAAGTTTTCCCCAAAGAGTTAAACTTAAAATGTGATATATAACTATTTCAATGTATATTATAATGGAGAGAGTTGATTGCGTTTTATAAATCTTAAATAAAGTGTAAACAATTATTTATAAAATAATAGTTTATACCATAATATATCAAAATAACTGGATATTAGTTATTTAACATGCTCGTGTGGAATCTGTTAAAAATTGTATTTCTTTATAATTTTTACCTTTTTGTTTCAGCTGATACCGATGCCCAAGTAAACGCGCAAGCTAAAGAAATTACCGATAAAAAAGGCGTCCAGAGGCTCCAGATCAACAAGTTAGTTACCAAAATCCGTGTCGGGAGTGGAAAAATTGTACTCAAGTCACCTCCTGCTCACACATTAACAGGTAACGGATGAAATTGTGTCTAAAATTGTAACATTCAATAATTACGTAGGAAGTACTTACTCAATACAATTATCTCTGTACTTTAGCCGATGCCGCCGCAACGTTCTTCAATTCGAATCCCCGTTTAGTCCTGGATATAGCCAGTCCAATTATCGAGGATACAGCCGCGACCGTGAGCAAAGCTCTGGCTGCTAGAGCACTCAGTGTTCTTACTAAGCAAGAACTCGTACCCTAGCTCTTAAATAGTCGAGTTTCGTTCAGCTGGATACGTTATTTGATCTTCCATAAAGAAAGGATAAAAGGCAAATATTACTATGAATATTAGCCAATCTGATTTAGTCTTTATCTATTTCTTTATTGAGCGTCGTGAGAATTTTCATCAGTCGGTGAGGTAAGAGGTGAGTCGGTAGAGTTGTTAGTTTATGTCCAAAGAAGATATTTTATTAATTAATCACGCTGTGCATGATCTCAGAGAGATACTTTGCACCTTTGTACTCGTATGTAAAACGCACTGAAATGTTTTCATTCTTTTATATAGCAGAATTATAAGAAGACGTATGTTATATAAACTGATTAACTGACATTTTCTTATTTAAGTGACAAATTGTTATGTACCTATTTGCTTGTTATACTCATATAATTTTAGTAGATGATAGTTACAATCCTGCACATAAATATACGTATATTGTGCACGATCAATAAAAGGAATATTCTAGTTGCGCAAAAGTGTTTGATAATTTTTCATCTAGGTATAGCCAATTAAAATTCCTTTAACATCTTTTTACAAATCTCTCTCTCTCTCTCTCTCTCTCTCTCTCTCTCTCTCTCTCTCTCTCTCTCTCTCTCTCTCTCTCTCTCTCTTTCCGTTTCCTTTTGATAACATAGTAAAAGTAAATTTTTTGAAAAATTTCAGTGTTGATTTCAATAATATTGTAATACAATTAAAATATTTTTAATATAATATCTTTAATATTTAAGAATAACTAATTTGTTATATAATATTAAATGTTATGTTGATTCATCTTACTTTATCACTTGTCTTATTAAATCATTGCTCACGCTCATTTAGAATGAATAACAAAGTGATTATCGTAATCACACATAGAATTGGACTTAAAAAAATAATTCTGGGAAATTTATGCGCACCGTGACTATTGCAAAGTATCTTGAAACTGTGATTATTTTAAAGTTATATATTGTTTGCTTCTTCACGAAATGGTTACGTAATTTTGATATAATACTTTAATAACATGTAATTATTCAATTAAAACCATAAATGTATATTCTTTTGTATTACAATTTTGCAGCTTATCGCACTATTTCTTACTCAACATAAATTAAAGAGCATTTTTAATATTTTTATATAAATAAAACATTTTTTGGTGTAATTTTTTTTAATATTTCAAAATATTAATTATCATATACAGAATGCGAAAAAAGTGTCGAAAGAAAGTATATCAAGTATGTTGACAACAAAAACTTTTTACAAGAAATCTTTAAAATAAAAGTATTGTAAGGTTAGCAAAAGAATATAATGCATTTATGAAATATATGTAAGAAAAAATATAATGTCAATTATCTTATAAAAAATGTATATTATGTATATTTATTTTGCAATATATTTTTCTGCTAAAGCTATAACATTTCTATTTGAAGCATTCTTTTGAAAAAAAGCTGTGCTTTGTTGCCAAAATATTTGGAGATTCCAATACTTTCTCTGTATGTTAAATACTAACAAAATGTAACATAATCACATTCAATGCCTAACGCAACGCAATCTAATAAACAAGTTTTACCAATATTTTAAATCAGTTCTGGCATTGAATTAGTCAAAATCAACTTATATATATCTAATGATATATCTATTAATATCATTTGAAGTTTAATGGGCTATGAATTGTATAGTGCTTTATTACAGTTTTCTTAACACGTTAATTGCTAATGCATTATTTGCTAATGATTGATTGAACATGAGTTGCACTTCAGATTAAGGTACAAAAATAAGAGACCATCTATCTTAAAAAGATATTAGTGTATAATTTCTCTAAAAAAAATAACAAAGAAAAATAAATCACAAAAAGTTACCTTAACAATTATTAAATATTTTTCTAAAAGAAAATAAATCACAAAAAATTACCTTAAAAAATTATCATAATTTCAGCAACGTTAATACTAAAATGTTCAATGAAATCTGTGTTTATGTATTATACTAGTTATACTATTTAAATGTACCAGCTATAAAAGAGATTTACAGAAATATTACAGCAGATGTATTATTGAATAAGGTTGAAAATTCCCGTGATTTCAGAACAAAGGAAATATATATATTATATCTAATCTAATTGATCTATAAAAAATGGATTTTCCAAAATAAAAATTACTTATTCGGAAACAAATCGTCGTATGTAAACTTTCCAGTGATTTTGTTCGCGATGTTTGTGAAAAGATCTGACAAGGCTTCTTCCAATATCGGTTTTAATTCATCTAACAACAAACCGTTGTTTGCGTTCAAAACCTTATTGCTCGCTGGTCCTGGTTTAAAAGAAGAAAGATCAATTGTGATGCAAATATAATATGCCGCTTATATTAACCACAAATCTCGATATATAAACTTATTTATATGAAATAATAACATACCAAGAATAGGATCGCCACCAAATAGATTATCCAAATTCAGTACTGCTTTGTCAATTTTGATATTAAATTTCATCTTTTCAAATTGTACATAGGTGCTGTTATTTTTAATGATTTTATGTGACCTCAAGATGCAGTCGCACTCGTAATCAACTGTAATGATATGTAGCAAATTTAATACAGACAAATATCTTTATGGTTTTTTTTCGTGTGTGTGCGTAACAATAATTTTCTTATTATTATTCATAATTTAACGAAAAAATATTTACAGATAAACGTAAAACTTACAAAAAGATCCTGTAACGCCTCCCTCTCCAACTAGTTTGAGCAAAAGAATTTGTGCGTTTATATTATATTTTCCTCGGAAGTTAATCTTATCGAAACCAACCTTGAAAGTGAGGAACACATTCTCGGGGTCGATTTTAAAGTCTCGGATTTTAAATGTAGACGGTCCAAATATCTGTGAACATAACTTTTTAACTTGAGAAATATTATATGTCAAACAATACTTACAGACAATATTTTCATCAATAATTTTTTATCATTTGTTAATTAATTCTTTTATCACTATTTACAGTGTTTTAAAATCATTTAAAATGATATATAGAACTATGTACACATTCTAATTTATATAAGTAATAAAACATATAAGCTCCATCACCTCTATATTTGTGAGGTTGAAGTCAAGCCTCGCAGCTTGAGGACCTCTTGATAATTGCACCTGTTTCAATACAAGCGGCTCGATTGCCGGAACCTCTAATTCCGGAATTCCAGTCGCCAATTTACTCCGTAATTGTTCAATTGAATTTAATACACATTTATTTATCTCTGGATCATTTCGATTACATACTTTTATGTATGATGCTGTAAAAAACGTAATATACAATAATATGAAAATATGCGATTTATTATGCAGTTGCAAGTGGGATATTAATGATAATTATAATAATATAAGTGATCCTATTTAATTTTGCAAGCTAACTTCTCAGCAAAAGGTTATAATCATAATTGTGATCAATTGTAATATCACAATTGTGAAAGATCAACGTTTAACCAATTTCTTTGATCTATAAATCATATATTGATGTTATGCACGTTTTCTTTTAAGTCTGTCAATGATAGGCAGTTGTTTTACATATGAAAGAATGCAGAGATGTTTTCAAAACATTGATGCGTTTTTATTATGTTTAATAAGTTTACGTTTGAAACGATACGTAAATGAAAGTTTAGCTACCTTTAATTAAATTTTCTTTTATATTTTATTATTAAAAGTGTTATTTTATAAGTTTTTAAAGTTAGATAGATTACTTATATGTACACACACACAAAGATATACTTTTACATACTCTATTAATATTAAATTATAATATACTAAAAAGGCCCAATATTTGGTTGTATTGGGCCAATGTTTAACCAATGTTTGGCCAACGCACTGTGCTACTAGGGAAAGGAACGAACCTAAAAATGTTGTTATTTGTTAATATTATATTTTTCTAAAATTCTTTGCTGTTTACTTTGCATTCCTTAATTTTTTTTAATGCTACGATTATACAGGCAGTCTTAATTATAATTGTTTGTAAATTTACTTTTAATTGTGTTATTAATCTACGGGTAGCTAAAAAAAATTAAATTATAGATAAAAATATATAGATTAAAGATCGACCGAATATTACCCATGGTATTTATTCATATCCACGATATTTATTTGGGAATAAACGGAAACAAGAGTCGTGTAAATTAAAAATATAACAGACAATTTCTTACAAATACACAGATTTGTAGTTATTTCTATATAAATTTTCTTTTGGTATCGTGGATCAAATTGGATTCTCTGCTTTTTTAATTGGTCGCTTCAAAGATTGCTGATTTTGTCGTTTTAATATACCTATATCTTTTAATTTCGTGGTATAATAATTTTACATTATTTCACTTATAAATAGAATTTGTAAGCAACCGAGCATAGCGTACATCCGCATATACATACTTCCACGTATACATATATTTTATTATCTGTAATATTACTCACGTATCTCGGCGAAGGCCACAGCAAAGAGTGCGCAGACCACACTGAAATAAAAGATCATTAATGGATACAATATAGTTTCTGTTATTAATATTAATAAGGTAATAAAATTCCTGATGGACGAGTGTCGTTTCTAAATATGGAACAATTATTATTTATAGCCGAGCTATTTTAATATAAACAGTATTCTAGACGTGTCGCATTTATCTAATGGTAGATTTCTGTTATTATTTTCTGACAAAATTGTTAATTGTAATATTGAAATTATAATAATGGAAATTGACCAATTAAATTAAAAACTCGCGTTTTCAAGCAAGATAATATCACATAGAAAGGAAGTTGCCCTCTAATCTCGTTATATCAATGATATTGATCAAATTCTTTTAATTATGTAAAGAACATTAACTGTTTATAACATTTGGCACACGATAACTTTGAGAATTTAACGCGCATCGCGACTTAATGTCAGTATTGTATAATGTTTGCACTGTCAGTATTACGTAATATTCACGTTTCTGTGCTATTATTAGCGATCATAGTAAATAAATTACCTATATGAAACAGTGGTTTCGATATTACTGTATGCGGAATTATGTTAATATTTAAAAAGCGAATTGTTAATCTAAGGCTGCGTTCCGATATTCACTGCTAGTACTGAAAATTGTACGTGACGTAAATTATAGATTTTTAGTAGTGGCAGTGAATATTGAAATGCAACTTAAGAGGTATCGACTACCTCCAAACACTCGAGGCTATCTGACCAATTAATCTTCAATGTTTTTCACTTCAAAATTAATTATTTGAGCATTAGAATTTTTAAACAAAACAAATTTATCTTTGAGAAGCCAAGAGGCAAATAATGATTGGAATATCTTGTATATATTTTTCAATTGTCTGTCAATCAACCTCACAAATATTTATATGTCACCGTACAATTGATTAATTTATTATTGAATTCAAGATTAATAGCAGATATTATATTTTTACAAATTTTTTCAAAGAGTTTTAGATAATTACAAAAAATTTGTGACAATAAATTAAAATTAAACAAGCTACAAATGAAAACACGTTATTAAAGCCAATGCTGGGTTATAATTGCTACAATTATTTTTAGAAAGTGTACATACGTTTCGGCGCATGAGTTTGGTCATTCTCGGTACAATAATTGATGAAAACTAACATGAAATTTCTAGATTATCCCTTCTTAAAGAAGTAATGAGCCTAAACTTGGTCGCATTACATAAAATTTGCATAATGGTACTTCTTAGATGTTCTGTCTATTAATCAAGACCTTGTGTAAAAGTATATGTTTAATAAATTAAGGTAATGTCAAGCTTAATTAAATTAAGAAACCAACGGTCAAGACCATGTGTCAATTGTCCTCAATTACTGTAATAATGTTCGTTATTATAAAACTTGCTGAACATATAGTCGACATGTATCATCTAGAAAGTATTTAGAACGAAGGACGACTATCGAGGATTCAACAGTAAGTGATAAATCCACCATTTTAAACCTTCATTTTAAATACTTCCCAGATAATAAATCTCGATCAGTTGCTCAGGAGGTTTTATAATCACGAACCTTGTTATAATAACTGAAGACAATTGACACAACGTGGTCTTGACCGTTGATTTCTAATTTTATTAAGCTACTTGACATTATCTTGATTCATTAAACATGTATATAGTTTTACACAGTCTTGACTAATAGGAAGAATGTCCAAGAAGTACCATTATGCGAATTTCATATAACACAATAAAAGGCTTTCTACTTCTTTGACAATGTAGAAAGGGTTTTGAAAAAGAATTTTCATGTAAGTTTCTATCAATTATTGTACTGAGGCCGACCAAATCCCATGCGCCGAAGCGTATGTACACTTTAGAAACATTATAGAGCAATTATTACTCAGCATTGGCTCTAATAGCTCGTTTTAATTTTGACTTATTATTATTAATTTCGCGAATGTCGGGCTTATTTCAACATTAGTTTAATCGAATTATTTTTAAAATTTATAATACATAAAAAATTTCTGTATTTATATAGAAAAAGTAAATGTTGGATAATTTGTGTAAATAACATTTACTTTTCAATTAATTTTTAGAATTAAGTAAATCTATGAAATGCTATTTTATTTCTAATTTAATATTTATGTTTTGTGAGTATTGTTTTATTATGTTTAAATTATGTTTAAAAGTGAGTAAACTACGTTAGCATAATTTATATAAGAAAAGATCAAGTACAACATTTTTACAGAACACAATAAATAGCAGATTTCCGTTTCGTGCGGTATGAAGAAATTTGAAAATTTTTAAGGAAGAACCAAAATAATTGTCACGCTTAACATGCGTACAGAATATTATAGAAAGCTGATCTCGTCTAACAATAAAAAAAGGTAAAAAATACTCGTTAATTATTTATGTTATTACAGACATTCAATATATCGTACTATAGAAATTACAATCCAATTGGTAAAAGTCTCGTATTATTAATTAATAAAACAAAACTTGTGCACACTTTCTTTTTGAGAAAGTGATGAAAAATATCTGTAGATATAACATGCATAATGAATGTACGAATTAAAATTTTTTAAAGACGAAAGCCAGAATATGTAATATGCATTCTTGAAATAGCTCATGCTGAAAATAGCTCATTGAAAAATATTGAAATATATTTATCTTAGGATAATATTTATATTTGGATAATACAATAAATATATTTGAATATTTTTTGTAGTACATGATGCATTTAATTAAAGTCTTATGTTTCGAATTGTAATTGGCTAAACAAAGTAAATGTTACATGCTTCTTACTTTATTTTTATAACTATATTTTTTAATATTTGAAAAATGTAGAAAAAATCTTTTATTTAAGGAATATAATTAGTACAAAATTTTAAATAAATTCTAACTTTATATGCTTCTGCTATGAATTTGGCTCAAAACATTTTCACATATCTCAATATTTAACTATTAGATCGGCATGACACATTCGAACAAAATTCTGTTTTATGTTTGGCATTAGGGTAACCGCATATAAATATTTAAAAAGTGCAGACTTATTAAAATTTAGTTATGAAAATTAGTTTTAAACATGAAGTAAGAAAAGTCATATGTACATATAAATAAAATGTAAACCATTTTGTTGATATTTTAGTTGTTATAAGAATATAAGGAACGCAGTAATGTTAATAGGTGGCGTATAAAAAACCTGAGTAGTTTTGTACTTCATAACTTTCACTGATTTCTGTATGTTTTCCCTCGTAATTTTGCGAATTTTACGAAAGATGAAGCTACCTTAATCAAGTTGATTGGAAGTCAGCAATCAAATATCAATAATATTTAAGACAATTTTTTAATACAAGACTTCAAAGTCTTTTGAAATTTAGCGTTGTCTTTTATTTTTTAAATATTAAATCTTAAAAATACGTTTTTAAAATACGTTCCTGATATTCTGATGATTATAAATATTGGAGTGGAAGCTTATGGTTAGGAAAATCAGAAAAAAGCAAGAAAATAAAAAGAAAACTTGCAATACTTTTCATAAAGAAATATACATTTTTTAACATGGCTAGAATAGCTACTTAAATTTAAATATAAAATAGCTTATTATTATTATAATGGAAATTAAAGCATTTTCTTGAAATTATTATTTCTAAATCGATGTTTGTGATATCTCAAAGATGGATCATCGTTCGCAACTTCAAATTCTGCCAAAATGCAAAATATATATTTCTTTTTATCTCTAATTTAAAGATATGTAAAAAATCTTTTTCAAACAATTAACTGATTTATTTCATATGACTCCACAAAGTGCAATTATCACTACAAACACAGAATGTTTAGCTATAAAGACTTTTTCGTTCAAAAAAGAAAAATTGTAAGGCTTGGTTAGTTTTTATTTATCGACTCGGAAAGAAATATAGCCATAGGCAAAGATATATAGCCACTATATACAATGAATCACATTTAATTTACCAGATTCGTGTGATGAAGGTATACATGCTGGCCAGCCCAGTCGATGACGTATCGAAGTTTGCTAACGACTGCAGGAGAAGTTAGTTGACAATGCTCAAGGATGTGATAGCTGCAACTCGAAGGCTTTACCAAGTAACTTGGTTGGAGGTGCTTGTTACATTCGGCCAGTTGATAGCCTCGTGCTACTTGCCGACCATTGGTCCAACCTCGTATAAGCACTAGTGACGATTGGACACGTTCGTCGATTCTTGCTTCGTGCAGGGAAAGCATGGCCCCATCGATATCAGTCTTTTCACCGGATCGTTTTCGCTCGTCCTACCTCCTACTCCTCTTTCGTCTTGGTTTTTCGTTTTCGTTTTTAAATAGATTCGTGGGCCCGTACCGCATGCATGGCCAAATACCACTGTTATTTTCATCTCGGCCTTTCATCTCGCGGACGGGCTGGAAAGCGAAGGGAACCGGCAAGACGGGTACAATTCGTCCGCTATTTCGAAGCGCGTTTCGGAGCCGGTGCACCGAGCCGACGTTGATGTTTCGTAATTCTCGTTGTAACTGCAATCCACAGGTAACGGTTGCATCGAGAAATTAAAGACATTAATTGCGCAATAAATATTTTCATCTCACTAGCGATACGTGACTAAGGGTGAGGTATCACGGAATGTAAAAAATTGATTACATTATAAATTCACTATATTTCGAACAATAGACATCGCATTTTACCACAAAAAGATAGAAAATATTAGTAACAATTTAGTATTAAATTTATTGAGGACAAAGAGACTTATCTGCAACAACATTAAATGACTAGTTCCAAAAACTGATTAAAATTTAGATGATTTAAATAGAAAGCAGTTGATCTCTCTATATCTAAATTGATACTTCAATAACGCTAGAAAAATCTAACAAATATGAATACTTTGTTGAATTTGCAAAGAAACATATGTGAATATTTTCATTCGATTTTGACTTATGGATTATGAATATGTTGCAGAAGTATGTAACATGAGAAACAAGATATGCAACGCATATGTCGAAATATTAAAAAATTATGGTATATAAAACTAAAATGTGATCTCATGAGAGAAATCGAAGCATGTGCATGTATGAAATAATTTAACGAAATTTTCTTCATATATTTTTCTCCTTTTTTAATAAATTGTACTTTATTTAATAAATTGTACTTTATCTAGACGACTCAAACATCTTTAATAGTCAACAATCAAGACTTCATCTGGTATAAGTATAAAATATCAAATTATTATATATTATATATTATATATTAAATGATTTTCTAAATTAAACATTTCATTTAGAAATTAAATTAAGAAATACTGAAGAGGTGGTTTTTTAATTCTATAAGGAGAAGATATATGTATAATTTTACAAAAATATTTTTTAATTTAAATATTATTATATTCCTTAATATTTTTGGTATAATTTTATAATTCATATGTGCTTATCAAAAATTATTATAAAAAAAGACGTCGCAAGACTCGTTATAGGTCAGGGAAAAATGTTTGTAATTGGATGAAAGTAACGTATTAGCATTGAAAATACCAGTCCAATGTTGGCATTGAAAACACTGCCCAATGTTAAATATGAAAAATACAAGGTCGATACTGGTACTGAATGCACTGAAAATTATTGCTAAGATAAATTAAGTGAATTTGTATTTAATAGAATAAAACAGTCATAATAATAAATATGTTATATTATATCATAATATTATAAAAAAGCAATTTATATATAATATTTGAATAAATTAAGATTGTATATGTACTCGCTCGCGAATTGAAAATGTTTTCTGTGGCAAATACATCTTCGTGATTTAATATATTAATTTTATATAACGCAACAATATTTTATTGATATACAGTTAGATATGATATAGTAGGCGATCGTGGCGCAGAGGATTGTGCGCTGGTCTGGAAATCCGAAGACCTGGGTTCAAAACCAAACAAAACATTGTTGGTTTTTCGTTCGATCGCCACATAGAGAAGTGAATATAGAGAGAGGTGTTATAAGAGATTTGGGCACGTTCCTTCAAAAACGCTTTGTAACCCTAAGGGGAATCAATAAAATGTATCTACAGTTAGATTGATATAGTCAAACCAGAAAAACTGGTAGATACCGGTTCGTGCAATTTCGCCGCGCCCATTAAAATTAGCGAAAGTTGCAAAATGGATTAGCGACGCCCGAAAACCCACGATCCGTAACAAAACCCAGGTCTACACTTCCTGTGAGCACGTGTATTGCAACTTGCATCTAGGACGGTAATAAGTGTGGCAATCTTGGACGCCGGGTCACCATTTCCCTCCCTCTTTAGTCGACTTTCCAGTATTAAAAATAATTTACATTTTTGCACAATAATATCTAGGTATATATACTTATAAGAAAAGAATATTTTACATTATATTTATTTTGTTTTCTGTTTTATGATATTTTGATTTATGAAACTATAGAAATACATTTGACAAGCAGGGAACTTTTGTAAATCAATTTTTATGTTTGGAATGCTGCATATTTCTAAATATTCATGAAACTATTTCTGAGAAAAGCAAAAGTAGAAGTAAAGAAAGTTCGAGATTCAATAAAAAAGAAATAAAATAAACTAAAAGTAAAACTCTAAAATAAACATGTTATTTTCTACTTCTAAAAAAATTTTTTTATAAGTTTTAGTATATGCATTTTAGTATATGCATTTGTACATTTTGCAGCAGACTTCTTTTCTATTATCGAGACTGTGTCATGTGATTAAAGGTTGCATGAATCGCCGTGTATATACATGGACGGAGAGCTCCAGTTCGTCACTTCTGTGGTACTTTTTGACTACAAACTTTCTCTGTTCGGCATGTGTTTATGTCTGCATTTTAACATATTTATGAGATTCTTAAAATTGACTTCTCGATTTCTTCTTCTGTAAATCAAATTTTCCTAATATGTTTTGAAATTTATTCTAGAGAAAACACAAAATCTAATTATTAATTTATTCAATGTTCAGCTTATGATATCTCGATAACTGTTTGTCGGATGGAAAAGTAATACAGGACTTTTTTACTTGATTTGGTCTCAGGAATATACTGTTACAATTGTGCTGCCATTGTTGAAAATTTTCGTGTATAGTAACACATAAAATTTACATACACAAAATTTTTCAATAATTTTTGTGGTAACATTCATCAAGAAAAAAAAGTCAAATATTTTACTAGGCAAATTACCTGGCATTATACCTCAAGCCAGGTAATATAGCACTTTTATTTCCCAAAGTCAAATTTTTCTATTGTTTTAAAGTTATACAGCACTTAATATAACTCCGTATATTTTTATGCAATTTTTCTGAGATATACATGTCTAATATTTCTAAATAACTGTATAAATAAACAGCTGAGCGTTCTTAACATTTTTAAAACTTTACATTATTATTTTGTTGATCTTAATAGATACTTGGCTCGAAAAATTGTGTTTGTACTTTACGAATGAAATCATCTGGTCACGCGTGAGAACAAAATCGCGTGTTTGAAGTCGACGCCGCATGTTATGTAACATTATTCATCGCGCAAGTAAGAAACGCGATAATGCAGTTTGTCTCGAGAATAATGTAGTTTTATTAATTAATGTGTTAGTTTTACAAGTTAGTGTTACAATACTATCAATTCGTATTACAATATTATCTGTCGATATTACGATGACAGTGGAAAGTTCGTTACCTCAACGAATTATACTTCATTTCATTATCCTCACACATACAATCATTGTATGTATAATGAGATGCAGCAGTAGTTGCTGCAGTGATTTCAATGCTTTCATCTCTGTTCTGTTTCTATTCTTCATTCACACGACGCTGTTCTTTTTTTCGTCTTTGTTTTTTAACTTATTAAACGGGCAAGCAACATTCTATGGCATAAAAGATACACTATTGGGCGCAAAGATCTCTGTTCAATTTTACGAATGCAATATCTATTAATTTCTGTAACATATATTCTACACGATATCAGTTTTTACTAATAGCTGCATCTATAATTAAATACACGTGTAATAACGACAAATTTTATTGCATAAATCATCATGAAAGGCAAGAAAGCAATTATTTCTACTAGTCATTTCGCAGAACTTTGCATATATATCAATACATAATCCTCATTAATATGTCACGTCAAAATCAATTACATAACAGAAATCTATCTATGAATCTTATTGTTTGTTCACCCACAAGTCTTACTGTTAGTGACAATGCATTTCGAATTTATCTTATATATTTACAATATTTTAAGTATAAATTATTTAATATAAATAATATAATATAGTTATTTAATATAATGTAACTTGATATCCTTGTGGATGGTACCTCAACACAATCAAAATTATGCTGGTGAATTAATTTTGATGTAAACTTCACTTACTTCACATCACTCGAAGGTAGGTTATATTATGTGTTATGCATGAAAATCTCAGTTAAGTTAATCAAAGTTTCAGTCATCAACACGATAATATGTCTCCTACATGGTACTTCTTCGTTGTATGATTTTAATAAAAACAAAAGAACAAACAGCAGTTGCAACGTACTTATAATCGTGTTTGGTCAAATATTATTGCTTTTTTAACTTCCTCGTGAACATAAATCCACAGTATTTTATATTGTTCATATAATTTGCTTTCATATAATTGTATTTCAAACATCACTATTATTGAAATTTTTTATATATACAGGTGACATAGTCCGAGAAATAGTATGAGAAATTTTTTCCGAATATTTTTAACGCAAACCTTGTTTACTACAATATTATTTGACGATGAGACTGACACACATACATGTGATTACACGTTATAGATACAACAAAAAAATTAGTAATTCTAGTTTACTTACATAAGTTCTACTACATTATTATTTCAAATTCTTAAGAAAGAGAAAAAAAATTTACTCAACGTCATTGCATGACACTTATATTGGATAATATTAATATTTTTTTATTCTGCGTAAGTAATATTAAATTAAAAAGAAAATTAAAATTAAAGCTATTCAAATTATTTTTAAATTATTAAAATTCTTCTTTAAAGGAAAATAGATTGTTAAGCTTCTTTAGGTTTCTGTTTTTGACATTAACAATGAAAAACTTTTGATATAATTAATTTTTATCATAGAACAATGCACATGTTTGCCAAATTTAATTTTGCAAATGTATAATTTCTACTTTGTTACCAAAATAAAATTTGGAATGAAAGTTTGATTTTATTCTGCAAACCAGATTTTTATTTTCAATCTTTCTTTATTGTTTATGAATTTGTTTGATTAATCATATACCTTTGACATCATAAAATATGACCGAGAACGAATGTATTACATAATTTATAGAGTAAGGAATAATTAATTATTTCATTAGTTTATATACATATGTTCGTGAAGGAATATGTACGCACACATGCACACACACTAACGCGCACGCACAAACACATACACAAAAACACACACACACACACACACACACACACACACACATATATTTATATGTATATACTGTAAAAGTACTGAAGAAATACATAAACCACTTCTGAACTTCTTTCAATCCCCTCTTTTCTCGACTGATTATTGAAAATGATGAATTGCCTCTTGTTGCGCTGTCCCCACTTCAAACTGTCAATACATTTGATCATGCGCAGAACAGAAATACTATACTCAATTCTAATGTATAACATTGTTTTGCGTCTAGGCATGTGTCATAAAAATTAGAATAAGAGGATGTTTTAAAAAGAGGGATGGTGCAGTCTTGTAGAAGCTGTAACAGTTCACGTTACTTTTGTTTCGCTTTGATCTTACGTTCGTTAAGATTGTTTTAGAGTGTTCGTTTGTTACTTCGCAGGAAGATCATCGTGTAAAAATATGTTTGTCGCATTCTTTACTTTTGTGCTTGCGACAGCATACGCTGCAGAGGATATACGTGAGTAAACAAGTATTAGCCACATTTATTTTAGGTAGATATATGTACATGATCAATTATATATTAGAAGATGCAAGAAATATATCTTTTTCAATACTGTATCACTTTGTCATATGAGCAGTTCTTATCGCGATAATTAGAGAGTTTAATAATTTGTCAAAAGTTAAGTAATTGTTACGTAAATAATTCTCTTCGTTAATTAATTGCAACACACATAAATAAAAACAAGCTAAATCGTATTTTTTTTACGCAAATGTTCCGTTATTACACATTTCGCATGTTCTGCTTAAAATGTGCAATTATAAGTTCACAAGGAAATTTCACACAGTCTTCTAAGTCTTTTATTAGCCCGAATGGAATTATTGTATACATATAAGAAGAGATCAAAGGTTTAAATGTGATTTTAATAAGCAATATATTGGAGTATTATATATTTATTTGTACTACATTTATAAATAATGCTAGAATAAAATAAGTTAGAGAATAAAAGTTAGTATTAGATGAATTGTGAAAATAAATAGAACAATCAGTATCTGTACATATGTATAATAACTATATAATTATGGTTTTGGGAATGCAAACGCTATTTATCAACGTAACTTTAATTAACTAAAATAATAATCTTTACTAGAGATTCATACATTGAAAATATTTTCTTAATATGAAATTATAATTTTTTTTTCATATTAACAAAGATATTTAAAGTCTATAGCAGGATAGACTATTATTACATTTAATAGAGTAACTTGTTTTACAATAAGTGAATAAAAAATTGGAAGAAACTGTGCACAAAAATTCTGTTTAATTATTCCATTAATGATCGGAAAATTTTAATTAAATCCTTGAAATAATTAAAATACTAATATGACCAATATGACCAAACCTACAATAATACCTACATAACAAAGTATGTCTGACAATGAGACTTGAATAAGATTTCATAATGATATCTCAATATTCTTTGCGCAACTGAATTTAGATATTTCCTATTATTTTTGATACATTTTCTGTGTGAGACCTCATCTATCTGATATCTATCTGAAATATTTTCATTGTTAATAGTATGAAGGAATAAGTTAATAAAAGCCTGTTTTTTTCTGCTTTCTAGGTATTGTATGAAACACATTTACGAATGTTTTAGTATATTTGCTTAATTTAACGATTCTATTTAGCTTTCTCTATTATAAGTTTTATGTAACTCAATGGCCAAAATTTTTATAGTTACATTATTAAAAATATAAAATGCGTACACAACTTAATAATAATGCGTATACAACTCAATAATAACTTTTACAGATTAAAATAATTTATTGTAAATAAATGCTAGGGACGTTATTATTTCAATTACAAAAATATTTTTTAATTTAGAAAGAATTATTGTAATCCAGCTTATTTTATCTTACATGATTTATTTCTTTATAGCCTCCTATGTTCATGTGTGTGGTCGCAATGATCCAAACTATGGTGACTGCGTCTTGGACAATATCAACAATATGAAGCCCCTGATTTGTACAGGGATGCCAGAATTAAACGTTCCTCCCCAAGAGCCAGTAATTATTGACAAAATGGTTATTTTCGATACAAATAATCTTAAGTTAATTCTCGAAGACGCAAAAATATTTGGAATTTGCAATTTCGATGTACAATCTTTTAATATGAGCCTTGACAAGCTTCACTTTGATTTTACTTTCGTACTTAAACATCTTAATATGGACACTGTATATGACATTGACATACGTGTATTGGTGTCACTTGCTAATAAGGGAATAGCTCACATTTCTGCAGGTATGTAAAATAGTCAATCTTATATTAAAATAAGATAAAACTTAGAACTATTTATTTTATTATAGAAACTTGTTCTCATTTCATTGTAATTATCAACCTATGTTGTTTTTTTTACAGATAACGTAAATGGAAAACTAAGCGTACAGCTTAAAGAAGTAACCAAGAATGGTAAAACAGAAATATATGTATCGAAGGCAAACACGAATTTAGATATTCTAGATAAAAAATTTATGTATGAGTTCGACGATAGTGAAAAAGACTTAGTTCAACTACATGAAGTTATTAGAAATACCGTAAGTGAAAACGAAAAAGAAATTCTGAGTAAAATTAAGCCTATACTAGAAGCAAGAGTTTCTAAAATGGCTATTGAAACTGGTAACAATGTAACTTACAATAGATTTGATCAATTGTTTCCCAACGAAGCACCATAAATGACCTAGAATTTTGAGATTGTTACAGAATGTGATACGCATCCTGTAATGTATCTGTTCTGATCAAAGAATAATTGAAATATATTTTGTATAAGTCGTAAATTATTAATAAAGTGACATTATTTTAAACATTGACGATATGTTTTAGTTAAGTGGCATAACGAAAACAAACGATTAACTGTTATAGATAGATTATTAGCGCGGAACAGCATAGATTTGTATGAAATAAATTTATTCTCAGATAAAATTGTTATGTGTCTGTGTATCGCTTCGTACACTTATTTAAATAAATATATTAAATTTCGCAATAAATTTTCTGTATTACAAAAATTGCCAGATACGGTCAATAAAAATCACTGATGTTATTAAATTATAACGCACAATAATTACAAGGGGGGGGCTTAGCCTCCTTCCCGCACCCACCCCGCCGGTAAGGAGGGTGGACTTCACTTACGAGAACCGTACAACGATAAAAATATTTTAGTTTCCATTCGAAAGCAGCGGAGAGCCGGAGTCGAACTCACTTCGTACTGAATGTTTCTGATAATGTAAGAATATGATCGTGAAAATTGGTGAAACATCGTTTTGCTTATAAACTTAGCTGTTCACGCACAGTAAAGTTCATCTCACATCGCCTCCTGTTCCAAAGCAAAACTACTTTCATCATTATTACAGTTCTACATGGATTATTCCAACTTTCCAGTAGTGGAAAACTATATCGCATTTTTGTAACTTATTTTTTTAATAACTTTGTAAAGAACAATCACTCGAAGGTTGGCCATATTATGTATTATACATGAAAATCTCAGTTAAGTTAATTAAATTTTCAGTTATCGACACAATAATACTTCTCTTACATAGATACTTCTTCGCTGTATGATCTTAATAAAAAAAAAAACCAACAGTAGTTGCAACGTACTTATAATTGTTTAGTCCAATATTATTGCTTTTTTAACTTACTCGTGAACATAAATCCACAGTATTTCATATTATTCATATAATTTGTCTTCATAAATGTATACAGGTGAAACATTCCGAGAAATAGTATAAGAAATTTTTACCGAACATTTTTAACGCAAACCTTGTTTGTTACAATGTAATTTGACGATGAGACAGACACTCATACATGTGATGACACGTTGAAGATATAAAAAAATAAGTTAGTAATTCTAGTTCTTTTACGTAAGTCCTACTATACTGTAATTTTTAATTCTTAAGAAAGAGGCAAAAAAATTTACTCAACGTCGTTGCATGACACTTATATTGAATAATATTAATCTCTTTTTTATTCTGCGTAAGTAATATTAAATGAAAAAGCAAATTAAAATTAAAATTAAAGCTATTAAAATTATTTTTAAATTATTAAAATTCTTCTTTAACGAAAAAATAGATGGTTAAGCTTCCTCTTGTTTTTGTTTTCGACCTTAACAATGAAATACTTTTGATATAATTAATTTTTTTATACAACAACGCACATGTTTGCCAAATTTAATTTTGCGAACGTACACTTTATATTTTACTACCAAAATAAAATTTTGAATAAAAGTTAGTTTATTATTCAAAATAAAATTGTTTGTTTGTTATTCAAAATAAATTTTTGAATAAAAGTTTGTGTTTTATTCTGCAAAACAGATTTTTATTTTTAATCTTTATTTATTGTTTAAGAATTTGTTTGATTAAACATATACCTTAGAGAGCATAAAAATGTAACCGAGAACGAATGTATTAAATACATTATAGAGTAAGAAATAATTAATTATTACGTTAATGTATGCTAACATACCTGTCTGCTCGTAGAGGAATATGCATACACATACACACACACCTCGCGCGCGCGCGCGTACATGCACACGCACGCAACACGCCTACACATCACGCATACGCACACGCAAACTCGCATGTGCACGCAAACGCACACAAATAATAAAAAATACATAAATTATTTGCGAACTTCTTACATTGCCATCTCTTCTCGACTGATTATTGATAATACCAAATTAATTCTATTTTTTTGCGCTGTCCCCCACTTGAAACTGGTCAGTCTATGTGATCACGTGCAGAATAAAACTACTCTACTGAATTGTAGTGTATAACATTATTTTGCTTCAACGACCGTGTCATAAAAATTAGAATAAGAGGATATTGTAAAAAGAGGGGTGCTGCAGTATATAGAAGCTCTACCAGTTCGCGTTACCTTTGATTCGCTTTGGTCTTACATTCGTTAAGATCGTTTTAGAGTGTTTTCGTTGGCTACTTCACAGGAAAATCTTCGTGTAAAAACATGATTACCGCATTCTTTATTCTCGTAGTTGTGACAGCATACGCTGCAGAGGACATACGTGAGTAAACAAGTATTAGCCACATTTATTTCAGGTAGATGCACGTAAAAGATTAATTTTATCAGAAGATGTAAGAAATCTATCTATTTTAATACCATGTCACGTTGTAATATGAGCAGTTCTTATCGCGATAAGTAGATAGTTTAATAATTTGACAAAAGTTTTCTACGTAAATAATTCTTTTTATTAATTAATTGCAACATACATAAATGAAAACAAGCTAGATCGTTTTTTTTACGCAAATGTTCCGTTATTACACATTTCGCATGTTCTGCTTAAAATGTGCAATTATAAGTTCACAAGGAAATTTCACACAGTTTTATGATTCTTTTATTAGCCGGGATGAAACTATATAAGAAGAGATGAAAGGTTTAAATGTGATTTTAATTTACAATATATTGGTGTATTATACATATATTTATTTGTACTACATTTATAAATAATGCTAGAATAAAATAAGTTAAGGAATAAAAGTTAGTATTAGATGAATTGTGAAAATAAATAGAACAATCAGTAACTGTACATATGTAAATATATAATTATGGTTTTGGGAATGCAAACGGTGTTTATCAACATAACTTTGATTAATTAAAATTTTGATATTACTATAATAATCTTTACTAGAGATTCATACACTGAAAATATTGTTTTAATATGAAATTATAATGTATTTTTCATATTAACAAAGAAGTTTAAAGTCTATATGCAGAATAGACTATTATTACATTTAATAGAGTAACTTGTTTTACAATAAGTGAATAAGAAATTGGAAGAAACTGTGCACAAAAACTCTGTTTAAATATTTTATTAATGATCGGAAAATTTTAATTAAATTCTTGAAGTAATTAAAATATTCATATGACCAATAATACCTACATAACAATGTATATCTGACAATGAGACTTGAATAAGATTTCATAATGATATCTCAATATTCTTTGCGCAATCGAATTTAGATATTTCCTATTATTTTTTGATACATTTTCTGTGTGAGACTTTATCTATTTGAAATTTATCTTAAATATTTTAATTGTTAATAGTATGAAGGAATAAGTTAAAAAAGCTTGTTTTTTCTGCTTCCTTGTTATTATATGAAACACATTTATGAAATTTTTAGTATATTTGCTTAATTTAAACGATTCTATTTAACTTCATATATTATAAGTTTTATGTAACTCAATGGTAAAATTTTGACAACTATATTATTAAAAATATATAATACGTATACAACTTAATAATAACTTTTTAAATATTAAAATAATTAATTGTAAATAAATGCTAGGAATGCTATTATTTCAATTACTAAAATATTTTTTAAATTTTGAAATAATTATTGTATTCCAGCTGATTTAATCTTAAATGATTTATTTCTTTATATAGCCTCCTACGTTCATGTGTGTGGTCGCAAAGATCCCAACTATGATCAATGCATGCTGGACAATATCAACAATGTAAAGCCCCTCGTTTGTTCAGGGATGCCAGAATTGAACGTTTCTCCGATAGAGCCAGTAATTGTTGACAAAATGGTTATTTTCGATACAAATAATCTTAAGTTAATTCTCGAAGACACAAAAATGTTTGGAATTTGCAATTTCGATATACAATCTTTTAATATGAGTCTTGACAAGCTTCACTTTGATCTTACTTTCGTACTTAAACATTTTAATATGGACATCGTATATGACATTGACATACGTTTATTGGTGTCACTTGCTAATAAGGGAATAGTTCACATTACTGCAGGTATATAAAATAATCAATCTTACATAAAAATAAGATAACAATTCAGTACTGTTTATTTTATTATAGAAACTTTTTCTTATTTCATTGTAATTAACAGACTATTTTGTTTTTTACAGATGACGTAAGTGGAAAAATAAGCGTACAGCTTAAAGAAGTAACCAAGAATGGTAAAACTGAAATATATGTATCGAAGGCAAGCACGAATTTCGATATTCTAGATACAAAATTTACGTATGAGTTCGACGATAGTGAAAAGGATTTGGTTCAACTACATCAAGTTATTAGAAATACCATAAGTGAAAACGAAAGAGAAATTATGAGTATAATTAAGCCGATACTAGAAGAAAATGTTTCCAAACTGGTTATTGGAGTTGTTAACAACGTAACTTACAATAGATTTTACCAATTGTTTCCCGACGAAGCACCATAAATCACTTAGAACTTTGAGATTACAGAATGTGATATGCATCCTATAATGAATCTGTTCTGATTAAAGAATAATTAAAATATATTTTGTATAAGTCGTAAATTATTAATAAAGTGACATTATTTTAAACATTGACGATATGTTTTAGTTAAGTGAGATAACGAAAACAAACGATTAACTGTTATCGATAGATTATTAGCGCGGAACAGCATATAAAAGGTTGTCAAATATCTCCCTTCCGCTTTTTTGCTCTTTATTCAATGCTTTATAAAAAGTGTTACAGTGATCGGATTTAGTTCAAATATGCGCCGTTTTGTTCGATAATCTGTTTCCATCTAGACGGCAACTTCATAATACCTCCCTCGTAGAAGCCCCCCTCCTTATTTGCGAAGAACTCGGACAGCCACTTTTCACAAGCCTCTTTTGAGTTCAACTTTACACCACCAAGGGCGTTCGCCATGGACAGGAACAGGTGGTAATCACTTGGCGTT